AAAGCAGACTGGACCAGATGGAGGCGATACGTTCCTCCGAAACGTCGGTTAACACCACATACACGGTGCCAAATCCCAGAAGACTGCTTTTTTCATAGTCACCGCCGTGAAAACCTCAAATCTTACATAGTTCATAGTTCTTTATTTCATTCCCTAGATATATACAGTTGCGGAAATTGTTGAGTTCCCATAACGACAAATCGAATACCAACAGATCGTTGCCTAGGAAGAACGATTTACTGAAACAGGGGAAATAATACATTTTGACGGTAACGAGGATAGAACACGTGAAATCAAACCCTGAGCGATGGTGTGTTCTATCACTCCTGAAACCAGGCTATAATAGTCCAGCTTCCTCAAAAACAACATTCCCCTCCCGTGTCAAGGAGGAGTCGAGTATCTCCACCGTGACCATGCGAGTCATTGGAGGCGACAAAGAGGGAAGTCTCGGATCTGAGACAGTAAAATATGGTCGTGAGTACCAAGGGACTCGGACCTGAGAAACATTGTGCTGGCAAGGACCAGCAGCATATATAAAAAAAAGACAGATCCATCTTCTCGTCAGAGAGGCGCCCAACAGAAACAAGACTGTAACTGTGAAACAGTAATAAAGATCTGGTCGCAAGCCCCTGATGGGTGCTTTATGCCAAGACAGACTGGCCGACTAACCGTCAGCCGTAAAATGAGACTCAGGCTCAAATAATATTCCATGGAAGAGGTTAGAACTGCAGAGGGACTTCCTCAATTTTTATGGTAATTAAAAAAAATTAAAGGTGCCCCTGTAACAGGCGGTGGAGGCCCGTAGAGTTGTGAGATGTTGAGGTCCCCACATTTTCTAGACAATTGGCTCATAGATGGCGGCAAGGTTGTCAGCCCTACGCCCCGGCCACCCTTTACTCCCAAGAATATTCTACGAATATTCCTGGTATTCATTTCTGTTAGAGGCTGAGTCGACCCCAGGGCCATGGTGTGGCTGGAAGGATTAGGTCAATTGAAAACAAAAATCCAGTGACCTCATCGGGACTTGAAACCGCAACTTTCCATCTAGTAGCATAGCGCCTCAACCAGCTACGCTACCACGTGCCCCCAAATTTTTATGGTAGAATTGATTATATGAAAAAAGTTTTAACCAGTGCATATCTATCAGGAGGGGGAAGTTCCTTAGCATGATCAGAACCCCTTTAAAATTGCCCTAATATTTAATCCCTGAAAGGAAATGGGCCAATTTACATTAAACTACATAGTCCATATGGAAAGAAACCTTAATATTAGCAACAGTTTAGGACAGAAGAAGTCAGGAAAGCTTCAATGAAAAGAATGTTCCACTTGTAAATATTTGTATACACAATTTCATAATTTCTTGCTCCCTTCACACTTCAAAGTTATGCAAAGTGTTGCTTTCTAATCACTAACTTCATGGAACTGAGCCCTTCCTCTGAAGCTGTCAGTTGTCCAGCTACTCAAGAACTTCCTAACATTTTATGCAACCCGAAGGTTCATTACTGTATTCACAAGAGCCCTTCCATTAGTCCTTATCCTGAGTCAGATCAATCCATTTCACAGGACCTCATCCTATCTCCTAAGGAAGATCCATTTTAATATCATCTACATCTTGATCTTCCTAGTGGTCTCTTTCCTTCTGTTGTTCCCACCAATATCCTATATGCATTCTTCGCCCCATTCATGCTACATGCCCTAACGATCTCATACTCCTTCACTTGATAAATCTAACTATACTCAGAGAAGAGTAAAAGTTACAAAGCTCCACATCATGCAGTTTTCTCCATCCTCCTGTGACATTTCTCTTTGGTCCAAATATTCTCCTCAGCACCATTCTCAAACACCCTTAGTCTATGTTCCTCCCTTAATGTCAGAGACCAAGTTTCACACCCATACAGAACCACAGGCAAAATTATAATTATTTAGATTCTGATTTCCACGTTTTTAGACAGCAGACAAGAAAACAAAAGGTTCTGGACTGAATGGCAGCAAGCATTACTCACATTCAATCTCCTCTTAATTTTGATTTGTTCAATCCCAAATATTGAACCATGCTATATTTTCAAAACATGTTACCTATCTTTAAGTCACGATTTTGCCCTGAATTCTAGTGGCAAGACAGCAACATATACTTATGTAAGATTTGAGGTTTTCTCGGCGGTGACACTGAAGAAAGCGTCTTCCAGGATGTGGCGCCGTGTAGAAATTAACAGACATTCCTCCGAAACGTCAGTTAACACGATTTCTACATAGCACCACACCCCAGAAGACGGATTTCTTCAACATATACTTAGTTTTCCCTGCTTTTATTTCTACACCAACTTCCTCAACTAGGATCGAAGTTTCTGTTTTTCTTTATGGTTGCTATCTTATCTGCTATGGTATCATTCAAATTATTACTCACACGGGCACTATTAATTTCCAGCCACACCATCTGTTAAACCAATTATGATTAAACCAGGATTCAAACTACAGCCTTCTGAAATGTACCTAAGGCAGAGTAGGCACAAACAAGATGGTTCAGCCAGGTACTGGGACATTAAGAAGAGATGACACAGCCTGCAAGAAATAAATAAGGAAAGATGGTAGGAAAAAACTGAACATTGCATCCATCGACCCATACAGAATGGAAACAATGCTAGAGAACAAAGAAGGGAATGAGACATCTCCCTTGTAGCAGTATTATACTCTGTGTGGGTAAATATGTTTTATTACCATTGTACAGTATATTAGAAAAAGTTCACAGTAAAACAATCATTTACATGATTTTTAAGTAATCAATTTTATGAAAATAGACAGACACCTCAATGATAAGAACTTTCTTCACTAACTGATTCCTCTTAAAAGAATATTATCTATATTAGCAATGTAATATACCTTTATAAAATAATCTCCGAAGAACTTTATTGCAAAAATAAGTCATAAAACTTCTACAAGAACTATGTATATGATATTATGAACTGCTGGCAACAAGAATTTGCAACAAAGTTCACTGTTTATGATTTAGAGACTTAGAAACAGAAAAATATGTGCAACACAAAATCATCCCTTATCTCTATAATGCACTAAAAATATTTGCATCCTTACATAAATTTAATCTTATACAGGGATATGCACAAAATGTTGACACATTTCTAACAGCAAATGAAACACAACCAATTACTCAAATGTGTTTTTTGGCTGTCAACAGAACAATTTTTTTTTCAAACAAAACCAATCCAATATCACTGTACTAACTTTGGTTTTATTTTAGTGCCCACTACATGTTTTGATCATCATTAGGCAGTTTCTTAAATACATTGCTTGTTACTGAATTGTCACAATATTGATCCATATTAATTAATCGGCACAATTTTAGCATTCTGGTGAGATACAATTTTAGCATTCTGGTGAGATATAAATCTAAATTTTAATAGCAGCCCTAAAGATAACTATAATTACCCACCCTCATTACAGCATATTAATCACAATACTACATAAGAAAATCAGGAAGAAATACATACAGAACTAATAACAACAATACAAAAGAAATCATCCACACCATACAATGTAAGTACATATTAATCATAACTCAGATTATAACAGTACACGTTAATTTACTTTCAGATAAAACAAACATTAGCAATGAATCCCAGAAGACATTATTGCCTTCTAACATATGACAAGCATCACGGACACCCACATTGTATCAACAAGACACAAACACTAACTTAAATAATTTTAGCCTTAAGGTTAACTATAATATCAAAATACCAACATGTGTTATGATGAGATATAGAAATAAACTGTTTTTATTATAATAATAATATATCCATATTAGGACAATTCATTAACAAGTGACATATTTAAGAAACTGCCTGATGATCCAAACGTGGATCAAAACATGTAGCAGATATTAAAATAACACCAATGTTAGTGAAGTGACATTGTTTTTTTTTTTGTTTGAAAAATTTGTTTTGATGGCCAAAAAAAAACACTGTAGCACGTAACAAGATGCAGACAATAGAGATAACTACTCAAAATGTTCAAAATTTTGTGACAATCTGTAGTAATTCCTGGATTGTAATGAGATCTCGCAGCTAATTTGTTGTGCACTAGTGCTCATATGCTTAAAATAGCTGACACAATGGCTGACCATGGTCATCTTACGTTTAAGCACAAGGCCAAGTTGTATTTTTGTTTACTGTAACAAAGAATGTTACTGCTATCCACAGAAAACTTCAGGCTTTCACTGGAATCTGAGCACTTGCATGAAAAACCATACTTCATTTGTTGCACCACTTTGAGCAGGAAGGCAGTTAAAGAATCAGAAACATTCTTGAATGCCCAGTGGGAATGACCACAGGAGGCGCTTTGTCAATGGTTTACTTTCTTTCATCAACGAAACAGTGGTCTCAGCTTGACTATAGGTGCCAAATGGTTTATGCGACACAGAACCAAGCCATACTTTACAAATGTGATTTTTTTTTGCTCAGTATCTGGCCATCATGTAATCTCTCACCAGTATCCCAAACATCATAATTGTCGGTGCTTTTGACCATGACTTAGTCCAGACTCTATTCCATAAGACTTTCTTCTTGTGGGGTTTCAAGATAGAGAAGCTGCCCTCAAAGAAAGCTGGTAATCTCATGGACCTAACAGCCATGACTCTCCAGTTGTGCATGGAGATCTGAAGATGTCATTACAAACGCTGGTCACCTTCAAGAAATTGCTTAAGAAAATGGTGGGCATACTGAACATGTGCTTAACTCAAAGACATTTCTCAAGAAATCCTGCATTAGATTCTGTAAACTTCATTACATTAAAATAATTATTTTTTAAACATTTTCATGTAAACATTTTGTGTTGTGCCCTGTGCTACATAAACATTACATGAAGAAATATTATCAGGCAAACTGCAATTTACTTAAGGTACTTTAGCAATATGAAGGCGATTACTGTCACAATATAAAGAAACTGTAGCATTTTTCATACCTGTATTATTCCTTACAAATTTACTACAACCAGCACAAAACAGGCATGTCACCCCACACGATATGTTTTATCACTACCTGCAAGTCAAATATTTTGCATGAATGCCACTTGTACAGGTACATAAAGAATAAATCAAAATTGAGAGGACAAATATTCCATTCTACACATGAGCATTTAAACATTACATAACCCCCCTCCAAAGTTTAAACGTTGGTTAAAGTTTAAAAACTTTCAAAAGAAACAACACAAGAAAAAACATAATGTGCTAATGGAATGTTGTGTATTTGCATGAAGGAAAATCATAATCAAACATTCCCACTTTCCTCTTGTAAAAAATAATGAAACTTCTTTTACAAATTTATACAAATATGGGAGACAATCTTCAGAGGGGAAATATGAAGAAACATCAGTTACCAGTTGATGGGTTTTTGTATTTTTCTTACATCCACAATTCTAACTTTTCAACACTTGCACTCATACAGTATCATCTGGAAAATAACATTACTTGAACACTGGCAATTTTGCTCCAAGTATGTAGTATATCATTAGTTTTAAGAAATGATAATATGCATGTGATCTGTTATGAGCAAGATAAAGAGTTAAAACTGCATGTAGTCTATATAGGGAGGTCTCAATATCACAAATTCCCAAGGAACACAATATGCATCTTCAGCTGAAATTCAGTTGCATATATTATATGTATTTGCAATGAATTTGCATGTTGGAGAATTATACTTGTTTTATACCAGTCATATCATGCTGAACTGACATCCATTTATGTCCATCATGTTATATGCAATGGTGATATGCTACTCTTTAAGATTATATATTCACACATGCATGATTTGTATGTTCAAATTCCAACATAATTTATATGAAAATGTTATGAGCCACTGGCTGAGGTTATCTGGTGTGTTCAAATTCAAGCAACACCATGACTTATGCCAGCCAACAGGATACAAGGCTGAACAGCAGTCATGACTGACTGTTTTCAAGTACCCTGTACTGTGTTCCAGACAGTAGATCATGAGATGTTCTTTTCTGCTCAGCCATTTCCCTTTGTGTTGATACTCTTTATTTCCACAAGCTTTTATGATGAAATAGCAACAATGTAGTCTATTAACAGTCCAAACATGTTTGGAAATAAATGTGTGTTCTTAGTTGTAAAGATACAGAGGCATTAAGATCACAGAATAAATAAAAAAAAAATGCATTACTCATATGCATACTTTGGAATGAAACTCAGGACTAAAACAAATCAAGGGCTTTACAGACAGTTTGATGCATTTACATTCAGGTACTGAAATGTTAGCCTGAAGGTTGGTAAACATCTATGCCCCTTAGTATTCCTATAGTTTGGCACAACCCTAGAAATCATGGGGATAATAGTTATTCATGTTCACACAAAATGTTGCACATTTTCCATCTGCAATAAAACCCAATGTTCAAGGACCAAATGTGCCTATACCTTTTCCACAACAGATTTTAGAAATGGTTATGTTCATTACCAAATGCTGATATACAGAACATATTATTTATTGTAACTACGCTGAGAAACAAGTTTAGGTCCACAACTTTTCACAGAAATTGAAACTTTCCTTTGGGTGAAACAGATTACTGGTATAGAAATTGTGAGCAGGAATCTGTTCCCCATACTTTCTGCAGGAAGGTTCGCTCATCTTTTGCAACACTGCTGTCACAATAATTGGCTTAAAGCTATGCCTTATCAGCCAAGGGCACAGGGGGTTTTTCACTAATTCCTCCAAGAGAAGCTTGACAAGCATTCTTAACAATAGTAACAGATATTCTGTGCACCGGGAAAAATGCCAAAAGAATCTTAAATTTCTTCTTAAGGAAGATAAATATACAGAACATGTGTGAACACTTGGCAGAGAAAGTATGCTGCATCAACAACATCAATCTAATTACATAGAATATAATTATGTGGGAATGCAATAGCAGTGCATGAAGGACAAAGGAACAGCAGCCATTCAGAGTCAGTTTAATGTTAGGACTGAAAAACATTGCACCTGAAAGTTTCACTTTTACAAACAAAATCTGTTGTCTTTACAGCATATAAAACTGGACTTGATGAAGCAGCCTGATTACAGTTTATTTAGAAACTCTCTCTAAAGTTCAGAAAATACAGCCACATGGCAGGCTATCAAATAAATGATCAATTGCAAAGGATGTCAAAAGCAGTCATTGCTAGCCTATTTCAGGCACAGTTAACTTCCAATTACCTGTTATACAAGCAATTCTTTTGCAATCAACAAAAGTCTTACAGATAATTTACCATTTTTATAAGGTGACTTCAAGAACAATGTCGTGATGTGCCTATATCCATCTATCACATGATAGCCATTAGCAGTACTGGCCATTGTCCTCCTTCATGCAGGTCCCATTACAATATGCAATGACATGTCATTACAGTACAGCCTAGTTGAATCTGTGACAGTGTTACGAGCATATACAAAACCTTTCATCCATCTACCTCTTCTATACTGCATGATGACCCCATGCAAGGACTAAAACGAAAATGTGTTCTGATTTTGTAACAGGGGGGGAAAGTGAAAAGGATTTGGATTTGAATTGGATTTCTGTTAAGAGTTCTTCTCATGAAACTGGCAGACCACACTCTGCATACATACCACATAACAGCAGTTTGCTGTACTAACCCAGCATTCACCTGGAAGGACTCCACAAAAAAAGAGGGGAGTGGGGTATGACAGCCATTGTCCCAGGCATCTCCCAAAATACAAGAAGCATTACTGCCTGAAAAAAAACTTAGCTACAGGCATGTTGGTAAGCAGCTAAAGAGGCAACTGTTTCAAGCACATGTGCAATGAATTTTCAGCTCATTCATGAAAAAGTTACAGGCAAAGTTTTCTCTGAGGCACAGATCAGGAAGCTAACTTTCAAAGAACAATCAGACATGTTGAAAGGCAAATGCAATTGGTCTAAAAAGTATTATTCACAAATTTGTCAGGAAAAAAAGACACACATTATAAAATTATTGTTGAAAACATGTTCAATAAATTTAGGCAGGCTGTAATATGATTATGAAGTTTCATTTCTTACACTCACACCTGGACTATTTCTCTAAAATCTCGGTGGTTTCAGTCATGAACAAGGTGAAATACATCACCAGAACATAATGAAAATGGAGAACAGATATCAGGGAAGGCAGAATATCAACAAGACAGCAAATTACTGCTGATGGCATGGCACATGATGATAAAAGAACAAAGAACATTCTTTTGTGTATTCTTCATTATCATCATTTTTTGTGTTTGAGCATTTCAGTAGATTAAAGACTGACTTACTGTAACATGATAAATAAATGTAATCAAATAACAGAAAATGCATTTATCACTTCTCCTAAGTTGTAACAAAAATTCTTACATTGCAGTACAAAATCATTGACATTTTTTTAAATCAGCATAGAAAGGTTATGGAAAGTCACTTTTCAGAACAAAAACAACTATTTCATTTAGAATTGTTGAGGAATGTTATCTTCAATGAAACATTATGAGAAAGTATATACACAGGAATGCTTCAGATCTTAAAACTGCAGGAGTCTCAAAGGATTACTCTTGCGAGTATTTCGTCAATGCCAAAAAGAATGGACATAATATTATATTTCAGCATCTTGTTGCATTGATGTACCTTTTATAGTCCTTTTATTTTCCCGTCCATAATGCAACAAAATAACATTAACTCACATTTAATTCATACAATGATTGTTAAATGTATAAAATGTTATTAAAATTATTAAAATATACATACACATGTTATGCTGCTATATGTTTCAGCCTTACAAGCTCATCTTCAGGCAACACAACTTTAAGGATTCTAATTCACTGTATGCTAATCATGTAATGTATTCTTAAGATATTTCAACTGATGTTCCTTCACATCTTGAATTGCGGCTGTTCATATAAGATGGATCAAGTGTTGCCTTGCGTTCCTTGTATACAAGGAGAAACAACACATCTAATATGACACAAATGAATTGTATACAAGAAATTCAATGCAACACTTGATATGCACAATGAAAAACAACATATCTTATATGACATAGAAACAACCACAATTCATAACGATATGAAGGAACATCAACGACACATCTTAAGAATACTATATGATTAGTGTACAATGAATCAGAATTCTTAAATAAGTGTGGCCTGAAGAAGGCCCTGAAAGGCCGAAACACATAGCAGCATAACAACCACATGTGTATATTTTAATATTATTTTATACATTTAATGATCATTGTATGAATTAAACGTGTATTAATGCTATTAATTTGTTGCATTATAAGTGGAAAAGAAAGAGTATAAAAAACTGGGCATATCAGATGGGATGTTAACTGTTATTAATGTGTTCAAATCAAGATTACTACACAGCTACTGGTTCCACCCCATTTCTGCAGATGAAGAACAGCACACAACAGAATTATAACTGAAATGCCTGCAGATCTAAATAGTGTATTGGAGGGGGGGGGGCTGAGAAAGTCATTTGAATGCAACGTAAATGTGGACTAAAAATACTTTGACTCTCATACAGACAGTGCACATGAAAAATATTTTCACATTCAGCAATTAACTCCTTTGGTGATGCCACTATTCAAACAAGTGACAACAAACTGGCCAAATACTACTCTAATAACATGAATACTAACTAGCACATGCAATGATTCTGTAGATGAACTTCACTGATATCTAATGAAATTAATTACAGAATACTTAAAAATATATGCACCTTCTATGCTTCATGTCTTGTTACATACAAAATACTAAACAGATAACAGCTACAGGGAAGGCACTATATATATATATTTATGGTTATCTTACAATCTATGGGTATTTTATAGAACAGTTTTCTACAGTGTAAATAACACATTATCACACGGTAAAAGTACTGGAATGTAAATTATTTATTATTAGTAACATACTTAATTTTATATTTATAACTACAGCATTCACAAGAATTAGACCCATCCCATAACTTGTGCCACCTGAAATACTTCATAAAACTACACAAGTTTTATAACTACAATGCTAAACTTGTGTTCTAAAGTGGTTTGGCACAATGTGTGCTGTATGATGTTAGAGCTTACTGAAAAAATTAATACAGTAACAAAATACTACAGACCTGCTGCACCATGGACGGCTATCTTATGCATTTCAGACAGGTAAGTACTACTACAGAAGGCACAATATTGTTTCTATCTAGTAGTACGAAACTTTGCTATGTATATATATATGTATATGCATAATACCCAGAATTGGTATTCTCTTATTCCTAATAATACAGACAATGAAAACACATTTCACAATTTCTGAACAATATCAAATTTCTTCTTGAAGTCCATAGACTCTTTCTTAGGATCATACTTCTTACGAGATGCCAACTGAGCACGGAGTTCCTTAGCAGTCATGTTCAGGTTAAGGGTGCTATTTCGATTGTTGTGGTCTAAGGTATCGTTGTTGCTTCCATTGCTAGGAGGGGGTCTTGGACTTGTTTCAACAGATGAAAGTCCCTGGAAATTGAAACACAATATGACAAAATTGATACCAGGTTAATTCACAAGTACAATTCAAGATGGCTGTTAGTAAGCAGAAAAGGGGTTTCCATTGATAATTGGATTTACTGAATGCTTGTAACTCATAACTAGAAATCACTATAAGTCTCACTGATTTACACACTCTATAGATCACTATGACCACAGCACATACAAAGTCTTCTGTTTGTTCACTAGTTGTTGCTAGAAAATAGCTGCCAACAACACAACTGAAAAATGCTAACTGCTGACTCCAACCTCCGGCTGACTGGCTTGACCAGTTGGTCCTTGTTATATAACCTCAGCACAGACTGCACAGAAAAAAAATTCAAGAGTTCCTGTATCATTTCATGTTTATTCGTTGCTGTGGAAACCTGTTAGCTGTTGCCTAGCAAGTGCTTGCAGCCACCATGTCACAATATATTTTCTGTCATATTTAAATTGGCAGATTTCCTTAATGTGTGTACAGAACTTATATGAATGAAAAACATATGACAGAGGCTGCAAAGCACTGTCATATATAACAACTGCACTTTCATACAAGATGATTTTAAATGATCTTTACACATCTGAAAACATATTTTAAATAACCTAAGCTATGGGTATTTTTAGGACATACTGAACAATATTCACAGTTTTTGTTGCAGCTTGTAAGTTCTGAATATGAAAGCCACTAGTCAATTTACACACATTAAAATGATAATCAGTCTTCTTTCACAAATTGGGCAACATGTGAATATCAACAGATTCACATGCACCTCAAATTCTGACTCTGTTTTTGAGATTCTGAAGTATCAGTAAGGCACATATTCCCTGACATATGGGATAAAGCAAATATTCAGTGAGGCCTGGGAGGTCACTCTGTGGGTCCACCACTGCCAATACATCTAAGAGGCAAATGGTCACTGAGAAAACCTGTCACAATAAAATTAAAATGGAGAGATTCATCACCTTTCTGAAAGAAGAATGTGTCTCTGAAATCCTGTTCAAGGTATGGCATTAACACAGATTATTGGAGTGCTACTTTCCCCTACTGTGACTTCAGCATATTTAGTGGACATTCTCACCCTCCCTCATGCATGCACACATACACAAAAAGAGAGGAAAAAACACAGCATTACAGATACTACAGTGCCCAAAGCAAGTAACTATATTACCTCATCAGCAGAATCAACCTGGAGTTCTGTACTGTAGCCAAGCTCATGTTTTCGCTCACTTGACGGAGTAGTACCAGTACTGCTACTTTTGTATGACAGTTTCTCGGGCTGGGTCTGAAAATGAGATGTGGAAGATGTTCAAGTGCCATGTAATATTGGGAAAGTTAATTTCCATTGCCTCACAATCACATTAAGTATTCTCCTAGCATTTTCCTGTAAGAAATGAGTACATTTACAGAAACCCCAACTGATGTTACAAGTTACTTAATCAAAAAGTGCATATTATATGCTAAACCATTAGCTGTAAAACATCTTATATCTTACTGTGTTTAGTATTGCCTGGCTCACATCTTCAAGTCTTTTCTCCCATGAAATTGTCATTGGTGACTTCCTACATCCTTGGCCCAACTTTTCCATCATATCTGATTTAATATCATAGTCAGCCCTCATGCTGCACAGTGCCTTAAAGTAGTAAATAACTATTTTTCACATCCCTTCCACTTCATCATTAAAATCACCCTGTCATTCAATGACATCTATGACTTATCCTGTTTCCTTCCCTAGTCTGACACAAAGGGAAGGAAGTAAATCAACAGGGCATTTGCTGAAAATATGCAAAATAAGTGGAAAAACTGAAATGCAGGTCTAAAAATAAAGTTGTCTCTGTGCTCAATTAATTAAGCATTATGTCATAAAGATATATGGGGGAGTGGAGGTACAGCTCCAGCCATTTTGACCTCAGCACCATATGGAGGTGAGTGGTCAGTTTCATGCCCTAATATGCCAAGATGCAGACTTGGTTCTTCTGGATCAGTAGTAGTCTAGTGGCAGTCAACAGGTGCATAAAGGTATGCAATTTCTTCACTAGCTGTGTGACTATTAGCTTCTGAAGGAATATTTGTTCTTCGGTTTATACTGCACTGAACATTATATGAGGGTGGTTCATGGTTAACCTTGACTTTATTTTTTTCTTGAAGATGTAGGCACGAGAACAATTAAAACTCTTTTATGGACAATCGCTGGCAACACTGCATTCACTGCCTCGCAATTCACAATGTGCCCCACTTTTGTGAATCAGAGCTCTTACAAGATGGCGTCAGATCTTCCCACTATTAGTGTAGAACAGTGTTGTATGATAAAATTCCTAGTGGAAGTAGAAATGATACCAGCAGACATTTTTTATCGATTAAATGCACAGTAGGGGGAAGAGACCCCTTCACATGACAATGACCATGATTGATACAATAAGTTTCCTGAAAGCAGTATAGAAGTCTGGAACATACAATATGGTCATGTTCAGCCAACAGCTGTATGCTATGTGAACATTCCCCATGTTGCAGAGCTGATTGTGGGAAACCGAACATGAACACTTATTGATTAATAATGTGCCCTGGCAGTAGGTCCCAAAGATGAGTTTGACCATAAGCTGCTGTCTGTTGATGTGTCTCTCTGCAAGTAAACACACCACTAGAGCAAACAGTTAACTTTGACAAGACATGGGTGTACTATTTCACTTCAGAGTCAAAGTGGTGCAGCAGGAATAGTGTCACAAGATATCTCCATGACTGGAAAAATTCAAGTCATGGCTGTCAGCTGGCAAGAACATGGCAAGTGTATTTTGGGATTCAGAAGGAGTGATTCATGTTGCTTTTATTTAACACAGTGTACTAATTAATGCATGGTATTAGAGTAACTTGCTTCACAATGATGTGCACCGAGTGATTCGGAAAAGAAGACCTGCAAAACCGTCAAAGATGATACTGCTACATGACAATGCTTGTCCACACACAACAAATTTGATGAAGGCAACATTGACAGAAATTTGCTGGAAAATAATGAAGTACTTTCCTTACACCTCTGACTTAGGCCCCAGTAATTTTCATCTGATTAGATCAATGAAGGTACAACCAGAATAGAAACTTCAACCTCATGATGAACTTGAATGTGGTGTTCTGAACTGGCTGTACATTTATGATAAAACCTTTTATGCTGCTGGCATCGATTTCAATTATTTTTTCAAATACTGATAAATAATTAATTTACTAAATGCTGGATAAAGGAAAGACTCAACGCATTCTCCTCCATCATCTAACAGCTACCACCCTTCCACATGCCTCTCCAACCACCAAAGGCGATTTGTATTCTGGCCTGGTCTGCTGTGTAGTTCAAGTGCCAAACATGACACTTCATTGAAATAAATTAACTGCATTTACTACACTGTCATTATCATAGAGAGGATGTGGAAGCAAAGCCTCACAGTCATTTTGCTTAACAGAATAGGTATTTCAGTGAAACAAAAATGCACACTTTTCTTGAATTTTGTCCTGTATATTTACAAAATTACTCTCAACATAATCTCCACAGCCCACAGTCTTCAGCCAATGTTTAGGTAGTTTCATGAGTCTGTCACAATGTAACTGCATCTTGCTGGAAGAGCCAAAGTCCGTAATGATGGTCGGTGGTGATGATGGGGTGATAGCCATGATGATGGTGGTGGTAATAATGGTGGCTGATAAATGTTAACTGATCAAATGTTTTCTGAAGCCAAAAACTCAACCACAGCACACTGTTTATTACATACTGACAGCATCTTCTAAGACTGCATTACAGTCAACTCTCGATTATCCGGGCTAATGGTGGGGATGGAAGTCACGGTTAATCGAAAACCCGGTTAAGCCAAATTTTATTATACGGGCTGGACGACTGTGAAGGGTCGGAGTTCGAGTCCCGGTAGGGTCAAGAATTTTAACTTCTCCAAATCGTCCAGACCGGCTCTGGGGTCCATCCAACCTCCTATCCAATGGGTACCGGGGGCTCTTTCCCCGGGGGTAAAGCGGCCGGGGCGTGAAGCTGACCACTCACCTCCAACTAGTGCCGAGGTCAAGAAAATTTGGATCTATACATCC